AAGAAGAACATCATCCAAACATGAAGCATACTCCTTCCTACATCAACATGACACCAACATGAGCTGGAATTCTCGATCTTGTGAGCAAAAGAGTTCGAGACCAGGCGAGAACGCGAGAACGGCCTGAAAATCACAACCACCATTGAGTATTAACTCAATTCAGAAGTTCAATTTGCTGTCTTGATTGCGTGACGACAGCGTCCATATGGGAAATCCACCGTTCGACGCCCATCTTCTTCTTGGCTCTCGTACGATTCAATCCGTGAGAAGAAGTTCCATTCACTGGCCCATTCTCGTTGGATTGATCCGATGCGACAGACAGAGAGTACGGCGCTCCATGGGCCAATGCCCTCGCGTGTGCCAAAACGGGAAGGCGCCTCAACGCCCGTCCGGAGAGGCCCTATATAGGAATGAAAAGAGGACACCTCAGTTAACAGGTGGCGTTCATTTGTCCAAATACGAACCTTGCACTTGTCAGCTAACTCCCATATAAGTGAACATGTATCCCATTCTCGGATTCCAGCCATGGCAGCTCGATTCGGTGGCGAGTCGGACACTTGTCGATTTGGAATTGGCTATATCGAGGTAGGCTGTCAACCAAGGTTTAATTGAGCGAAGGGATGTGTCGTACCGAGTGTTCAACAACACCCTTGGCCATAAGCTCCATTAGGCAGCTGTGCAGCATGTCATAGATAGCTTCCTTTGGAGGTAATCCGATGTATTGGACAATATCTGCCCTATCACGGAAAGCCGGATCTGGACAGAGGGTAGAGGATGATCAGCTGTCATCCAAATGACAGAATAGGCTTACCTATTGCTCCCACTAAGTTACTTGTAGACATGAACAAGACATTCTTCTTTTGCCGCATTTTATCTAATTGTGTGAGGAGGGCATTGACGACTCTCAGAGCATCGCTCGGTTCTTGACCAGACATTGCCCCTGCTCTCGCCGCAGTGAGGGATTCTACTTCGTCTATCAGTACGAACAGAAAGACATCTTCTTCATCTGCCATTTCGGAGACAGCTGAGAATAGCTTTTGTACTAGCTTGCCGGACTCGGAGAACCACTTTGAGAACAATGAGTGAGAGTTGATCTCGAGTAAACGACACTGCGTATATCTTTCACTTGCTCAGCATCCATATAAAGGAAATAAAGAAATGAATGTACCGTTCTGAAAGTCGTATGGACAGCTTTTGGGCCAGAGCCTTACATAGAGAGGTCTTGCCTGTTCCTGGACTAGAGGAGGTTGTGCATTTTAAGCATATATTCGTCCCATGTTCAAGATTCTGACGTACGGTCCATGTAAGAGTACGACTCTTCAAAACTGTTAGCTCCTCTCCTCCAGGAAGACGAGGGAAAACGGACCGATTCCAAGCCACGAGATTAACTGTGAGAAGGAAAGTTAGCTCACAATCCAGATCACCTAACTGAATTTTCTAACAGTCGACATTGGCCTCAGATAGCAGGAAGGTCGCGTATAAGTAGTTGAGTAGATGAGGCTTGACATCGGTATCGTATATTAAACTAGAGTGATATAAATCAGCATTCTTCTGCATAAGAAGACGACTATGCACCTGTCCCATAGACTATCCCACTCTATGCAAGGAAGCTCGGTGACCGTAGCCGCAATCACATCGTCTTTCGACTCTCCAGTAGAAAGGTCGTCTTGTTCACATGTGATAGGTTGGTATACATGTATTTCTAACGATGTCCTGGCCATCTCTACGGTATTTCCTGGAAACGCTATTGGAAGGATCAATGCGTAAATCACGTGTTTTGAC